AAAGGGCCAGAAGGTTGAGAACCACTGTTTTACCACCTACAACACCTATTATAGGTCACCTGTAATTGAAACTTTTAAAATATTTCTAATACATAAATGATTGTTACTTGTGTCTTACGGGCTTGGATCCTGCTTTCCCTCTTTTCCCTGGGGCGGGCGCTGGCCCTCCTCCCCCATCCACGCCTCCCCCAGCCGTAGTTACTCCGCAGGGCTCACTGACCGGGACACAAGAACGGGTGGCAGGGAAGCTTTCAGCCCAGTCCAGTGGGGAGAAGAGCCGTGGTTGTCCACTGCTTTTTCTATCCTGCAACCCCCACCCGTGGGCTGCATTTCAAGGTGAGGTTGTGCCCTTGTGATCCTGGGGTGCCATCTGTAATAGCCACTTGCTCCTCATTTCCCCCCCAGTGCAAGCCCTGCACGGGGACTGTAGAGCAGATCCTGGAGGTGCACAGGGCCAAGAGCAGGGGAGGGGGCGTCGGGGGTGCTCTCTGCTGGCCCTGAACTCGGGGCCCTGAGGGAAGGGCTGCGCTGAGTAGCCTGTTCTGACTGTATGCACAGAGGGTGGGCTAGGGATTCACGTTTCCTTGGTTAGATTTTTCTGGCCCACTTGGAATGGACTCTTTCAGAACCTTTTCCCCAAGACCGAGTCCCCAGGTGGTTCTGGAGCCCACCGGGTGCGCACAAGTGTACCAGCCTCCACAGACGGGGAGGGAAGACACAGGCAGTGGGGGACAGGGCCTGTGCCCGGCCGTAAAGGAAGGGGACACGCCCCGCAGGCGGCAAGGGCCAGGGAAGGCCTCTTCGAGGGTCGGGTCGAGGCTTCCACAGGCTGGGGGTCCAGCCTGAGGGACCCAGAGGCCGTGCTGGGCTGACAGGCGGCAGGGAGGCCGCCCAAGCGTGGGAACCACAGGGGATGGCCGGGTCGGCGAGCAGGAAGCCCTGTCCTGGAGGCATGTCTGCTGCAGGCAGGGCTGCAGTGCTGGGCATCGCGTGCTCCTGGTCATGGGGCCCCACAGGGACCCGGCCGCCCGCAGCCTGGCCCCGCACCTGCGAGGGCGAGAAGGGCCTGCGTCAGTGCCTGACCGGCTCGGCTATTTTGGGGCCCAGGCTGATTAAAAATAGCGGCTAAGCCCAGGTTTCAGCTGCAGCTGACAAGACATTAAGAGACCCGAGGCCCCCAAGTGACAGCCCTGGGTCTCCTCCGGTGCCCGTTTCTGCCTCTGCGACAGCTAATGAGGACGCAGACGGACAGCCTGAGAACACCCCGCGCGCTTCCCGCTGTGGGGCCGGCTGTGGGCATGTGCGCGGGGCACCCCGGGAAGCGTGCCCGGCGGGTTTTCGGCTGGAGGCCGGCAGCACCCCTCACCTGAGCGCTGTCTGTAGCCAGGACGGCTGCTCAGGGCCCCGGCAGGAGGAGACGCGTCAGTGCTTGTGCCTGGAAAGCGCCTCCTG